TTGTAGTGGTGCATGGAAGGAAATATGTTACATAAACAACATACGACCGCTATGACTCACATTTGGTAGTTTGTTATGCTAAGGTGATTATGATGGGCATAAAGAAAGGTTTCATTGTTATTGCATGCTTGATGTTATATCATTAACCACTTATGTTGGTTTATCAGATGAGCCAAGTGGGAGACTGTTGGAAGTGGCTCATCAGCTGTCCACTAATTTCAATTTAATTCAAATGTTGGGAGTTACTAATTGTTTTAAATTGTCGGTTACATGTGCAATAATTTTTATCAGTTACATGTGCAAATAAATTTGACTGTTACATGTGGTTATTGAAAAATGAATCCTAGTCATTGGATGGATACTTGATGGACGTATCAAATTAATTGTTATTCTCTATATATAAACTGGTCCTCCCTCTACCCATGAGAGTTAACATATTTTTCCCATCAATTTTAGTGTTATATGTAAAAGGGTTAAGAGAGGAGAAATCAGTTTTTATCTCAAAAGTTTATTATCATGGCTTCAGGATCAAGTACATTTTCTCACAATAATTGTTTAATTATTTTGTTTGTAAAAATCATGAAGTTCTAAGATCTATGTTTATTTGATTGTTTATGTTTACAATCTTTAAGTAATTACTGACACCTTGGACCTAATTTCATACAGAGCATCCATATCTTGAAGATCCTTCTCCAACTTTACCTGGCAGTATGGGTCGTTCGGATGATGCAATGGAGTTTATAAGAAAGATGGCAATCGAGCCCAACGAAATGGTTTGGTAGCCTTGCTAATGTCGAGTATGGTGAAATTGTTGTACATAAGGTCCTCTCTGTTAGACCAAACTTAGCTACCTATGTTGTAATATTCAACACATATATTGAGAGTGGGAATTTTGAAGATAGTGTTGCTCTTAAAGAAGTAATGAAAGAGAGAGACGTCAAAAAGGAAGCAAGACATAGTTGGATTTGTGTACAAGGTAAAGCCCACAAATTCTATGCAGAGGATCAACAATATCAGCAAAGGATGATATCTATACCAATTAGAAGAATTAAGGGAGAAAGTCAACTTTCTATGTAGTTTGTTATGGTCAAATTAAATAAGGTCGATTTATTAAGTGGAATACATTAAATAAAACCCAACTAACCTAAGCAAATGAATTAACTAAGGCGTGAGGTTATTTGAGTTCTATCAAATTTCTAGTTCTATGATAAAATTATGTTATTATAGCTTGATCTTATATGTATATTTATATTTGCTAAAACTAAAAAATCACATTGAGGGTTAACTAGTGAGTAGCAGTACTTGTTGTGTGTGATTTTTTCATTAAGCTCAGAGAAGTCAGAATCCCGCGAGGATATAGTTTGACCTAGAATCAATTTGACTTAACACTTGTCCAACCCAGCATAAGCTCGTTGAGATACGGCTCGACCCAGCGTAAGCTAGTTGCGACCAACTCTGAAAATTGTTCAACAAATCACAAATAAGCTCAGATCTTGGATATTTCGGAAGAGATTAGATCAACAGCAATGATGGCGCAATGTTAGCGCACAATCATGAGAATATCGGAATTGAAATTCGAACATGATTGCAATCCCAATAATTTCTCTCTTTCCTTGTTTACAAACTTGTATATAAACCCCCTCCAATGATGGGAGAGGGGTTAGCAAATTGTTCTAGGTATTATATATTACTTGTAAACTCTCTAAAGCAATAGGAAAAACAGTAGACATAGGCTTAAGTTCCTACTTGCCGAACCACTTTAAAAATTGATTGTGTTCTTTATATTTACGCATTTTTATATACAATTGCTAGTTATCTTTAATCACGCACACATCAGTTCCGATTCCACCAAGGTCAATCGGATCACTCTGGTTGGTGTAAATTTTGCATCAATATTTTGGCACTATAAGGAGGGCCTTCGCCTACTTTCCATATTTCCGGCAAAAAACAACCAATTTCAATGAACTGATCACCTGAAATTTCCAATGGTTTGTACTAAATTAAAAACAACCACCAAGAACCACAACAATGTGGAGATTGTCCACCAAGAGGTGCATCAAACCGCTCTTCCAAGTTGACCACCAATGTCGCCAATGCAACAAGTCGCAAATCAGTAGGGAGTAGGGACTTCAAATCCCAAGAATGGCCAGCTGATGGGGATGATAAGGATGATGGTTGCACAGGCGATACAACAAAACGTGGCTAAAATAAGAAAAGAGTAGTTGGCCAACCGGGACCTCGATCAACCACGCTTCACAGAGGTTACTCCCACGGGTCAGAATAACTTTGCTGGCGACCAATCTCATTCGTCAGCACTATGGAGTAACCGTCACCCCCAACATCATAGGGTGCTTTCCATCCACGAGTGTGAGTCCTGCAGGCAAGTTAACCTCGAGAGGCAATCAGGCAAGCAACCCATATGGGAGAATAAAGGCAATGGTCGCTAGAGGGATGCTCGTCCTAATTGACGACATATGCCCAAAGCCAGCATGCCAGTTTTAACCCATGTCAAAGGCAAGCTCAAACCTTGCAAACTCACGAGATTATTCATATATGCCAATCTGGCAACACTGACATTTCGGTTTTAACCAACGTCGTGAGCAACGTACCGAGGAACATGATAGCACTTACCATCCTAGCCATCATGAATTTACCTCGCGCACTAGCGTGCCTAATAAAGTAGGTTCACAGGTAACTAGCCTTCGAACTCATTTGCTCAAGGTAAGGCTGAACATAGGTCACAATCAGAATACTCCTCATGACAAGGACTTAGATTGGGTACAGAAAGTGCTCGATGATCTAGAGCCTGCCAAAATAATTCGATGGAAGAGATAATGAGTTCTCCATTCACGGAGGAAATCCATCAGACCCTACTTCCCCAAGAATTCAGGACGCCTAAGAACAAGTTAGATAGGAAAAAGGATCCCAAAGACCACCTTGACTCTTTCAACGACTTGATAGAGCTACATCAAGTCTCTGACTTGGTGAAGTACCGTTGTTTCACTGTCACTTTAGTATGAGATGCTAAGAGATGGTAGCGGCCTTAGCTAGCAGCTCACCAAGAAGAGCCCCTGAAACGTAACAAGATCCCCAACAAACAAAATGAGGGGCTAAGATCATAATGATAGGGATCGCAATAGGTTCCAAAAAAGGCAGAGAATGAAATTCCACGGGGAAAGACAACATTTTTTGCAATATGCAGAATACACCCCCCCTCACACAAGATGTAGCACACATCTATGAAGTCTCTCGCAAGGCTAAAAAAATACTCGTGCCAAAAAGAATGAGAAGGCCATTGGGTAGAAGAGATCGCCAAAAGTACTGCAAGTACCACCGAGACATAGGGCATAACACTAATGATTGTCGGGTTCTAAAAGATGCCATTGAAGATGTGATTAGAAGAAGTCATCTGAAAGAATTTATTAAGGAGGATCTAGCTCGTGACAAACTGAACTAGCAAAACAATTAGATCCAACAAACCCAGCTGAACAACGATGTGTTTGTGGGAATGATCTACAGGGGACCTAAAATTGTAGGAAGCTCCAAGCACTGGCACGAGCAATATGTGTGAGAAGCTAGGACAGACTTGATTCCCCGAGTAATGAGCTGCACAGTTAAGCCACCCAAGCGGCCCAAAATGGAAAGTTAAGTGATAGGCTTCTCTAAGGAAGAATGTGACCAATTCCCTTGCAACAACCATGACACGATTATAGTCATGGCAAGAATTGGTAATGCCCAAGTCCTCCAGGTAATGGTAGACAGTGGCAGTGCAGTGAACATCATCTTCTTAAGGGCTTTCCGAGAAATGAGGTTCACACAAGGAGATCTAAGAGCATGCCTGTCATCATTGTATAGATTCACTGGGGACAGTTTGGTCCCCATGGGAACGATCAAGCTACTTGTGACTGTCGGGGATAAGCCTCAAATAAGAACAGTGATGACAAAATTCTTAGTGGTCAATTGTCCAACCGCCTTCAACGTCATCTTGGGAAGGTTGCTCTTAGACGACCTGAGCGTAGTCACTTCTGTGCGATGTCAGGCTATAAAGTTCCCAACCCTAGATGGGATTGGAGTTATAAGGAGTTGCAGGAAGGAGTCAAGAGAGTGTTATAACCGAGCCATCCATGCAGTGCAAAAATGGGCACTCCTAAGGACTATGATCATCACTAAGTCTGAGCCAAAGCCCGAAGAAGACACTATAGATTCTTACATTCATAAAAAAAAAGCCCGCAACAGGGCCTACAGAAGAGCTGTGAGAAGTGCCGATCAGAAAGGAAGATCCAACTCACGTCCTAAAAATTGGGAGTAGTCTGAGTGGTGAGTTGGCAGATAATTTTGTGGGATTCTTAAAGAAAAACCTCGACGTGTTTGTCTAGGTACATGTAGACATGGTGGGGATCAACTTCGAAATAATTTGTCATCATTTGAACATTGACTTAGATGCTCACCTAATAAGACAGAAAAAAAGATCTATGGATTCTAAGCGGTCTAGAGTGCTCAAGGATGAAGTTGATGAGCTCCTAAACATTAACTTTATTAGAGAAGTGAAGTATCCAGACTAACTCGTCGTTCCGGTCTTACTGAAGAAGTTAAATGGCAAGTGGCGGACTTGCATTGATTTCACTCATCTGAACAAGGTCTGTCCTAAAGACAGCTTTTCGTTACCCCTGATCGACCAATTAGTAGATGCGATAGTAGGAAATGCACTACTAAGCTTAATGGACGCATACCCGAGATATAATCAAATCCTGATGTATTAGTCCGACAAAGAACACATCTCTTTTATTATTGACCAGGATATCTATTGTTACAAGGTTTTGCTATTTGGCCTAAAGAACGTTGGAACGATCTATCAGCATTTAGTGAATCAGATGTTCGCCAAGTAAATTGACAAAACCATGGAGATGTACATTGACGACATACTCGTCAAAACAAAGGTCACCGAAAAGCCACATCAAGCACTTGGAGAAAATGTTTAGTATCCTTAAAAAGTATCGAATATGGCTGAACCCTTGAAGTGCACTTTCGAAGTAAGCTCAAGGAAGTTTTTGGGTTTCCTTGTAAATCAGCGAGGTGTTGAAGCCAACCTAGACAAGATTCAAGCCCTTTTGAACATGCAAAGCCCAACTAAAGTAAAGCAAGTTCAAAGTTTGGCAGGGCGATTAGCCGTAGCAGGTTTGTTTCCCAAGCTACTGGTAGATGTCTGCCTTTCTTTAAAACCTTGAAAGGCAACAAGGCTTTCAAGTGGACAGAAGAGTGCGAGAAAGCATTCTAAGAACTGAAAAGACATTTGGGGCAGCCTCCTTTGTTATCAAAGCCCGTCCTAGGCGAGCCCCTACTTTTAGACTATTAGTATCTAAGTCCACGATCAGCACGACTTTGGTACGCAAGGAAGGGCGAGTGCAGTGGCCAGTATACTATGTGAGCAAGTGATTGTTCGATGCCAAGACAAGGTACCTAGAGATGGAAAAGCTTGCCTACGTACTCATCATAGTTGCTCGAAAATTACGGCCCTATTTTTAGGCGCACTCTATACATGTTCTGACAAACTTTCAGCTAAAAAAGATAATGCACAAGCCCAAGGCATCAAGTAGACTTATTCAGTGGACTATAGAGCTTAGTCAGCACGACATCAAGTATCTCTCGAGAACAGCAATCAAGGGACAAGTTTTGCTTGACTTTATCTCAAAAGTCTCATATTAGCCCGAGAGGAAGGTAAGCCTGCCTGAAGTGAGCACCTCAGAAGAGAATAATTCAGCTCGACAACTTATGATAGTGGACCTTGTACATAAATGGGTTTTCAAATGAAAAGGGGGCAGGAGTTGGGCTCTTTCTCGAAGGTCTTGAAGGGGATCCAATCCGAGCTGCAATCATATTCGGATTTACTGCCTCGAACAATAAGGTAGAATATGAGGCCAAGCTCGCGGGGATCCGCCTGGCCAAAGAAATAGGGGCAGACTCAGTCAAGATTTTCAATGACTCCTTGCTCGTCATCCATCAAATCTTCGGGGAACACCAGGCCAAAGAGGACATAATGGTGTCTTCTCCGGAAGATAAAATCTGAGCTTGAGCTGTTCAAAACCTACTCAATTTTGTAGATACCAAGGGAAAAGAATTAAGTGGCCGATGCTATAGCTCGCTTGGCTTCAACAATGAGCAAAAAAACCATTGATTCCATCCTTGTCAAATTCCTCTCAAGTCCGAGCATCCTAGCATCACAAGAAGCGATTTTGGTAACAAGGCAAAGGTATACTTGGATGGACTTAATAATAGTGTACTTAAGAGATGGAACAGTGTCCAAGGGAAGAAATGAAGCCAAGACTCTTCGAGCAAAATCAGCTCAGTATACGCTCATCAATGAGAGGTTGTATAAGCAAGGCTAACTCCCCACTTTTGCAGTGTATGCATCATGAGGATTCGAAGTACATCTTGAATCAAATCCATAAAGGTATCCATGGGAATCACGCCAGGGGTCGATTTTTAGCATTTAAGATACTTGACTAGGGATACTATTGGCAGACAGTCTTCGACGATGCGATCTATTTTGTTTGAAAGTGTGATAAGTGTCAAAGGTTCGCAGACATATCGCGAGCTCAAGCCCAAGAGCTGACCACTTTGACAAGCCTGTGGCCATTTGCAATTTGGGGAATCGATCTGATAGGTCATTTACCTCAGGGAAAAGGACGTGTCAAGTTCGTGATAGTGGCAGTGGACTACCTCACAAAGTGGGCAAAAATTGAGCCTTTGGCGGCCATTACTTCAAACAAGGTGAAGAATTTTGTCCACAAAAACATTATTTGTAGATTCGGAAACCCCCATACCATCATCACTGATAATGAAAAACAGTTCGACTGCGAAGACTTCCAATCGTTCTGTGAAAGGCTTGGCATAAGGAAGAGCTTCTCCGTCGTCTATGGGCCTTAGGCTAACGGTCAAATGGAAGATGTCAATAAGGTTATCAAACACACCCTCAAGAAAAAGCTTGACTCTCTTAAAGGAAGATGGGCAAACGAACTGGTCAAGGCTTTATGGTCATACAAAACGATAGCCAGAAGCTCAACAGGAGAAACTCTATTCTTGCTTTCCTATAGATGTGATGCAATGGCTCCGGTTGAAATTGGGCCAGTTCACTTCGACTAGAGGTTTTTGACCAAGAAACAAACGAAGACCTTCTTTGTTTGGATTTAGACTTGATCGAGGAACATCAAGCTAAGTCTTAGTTAAGAGTTGTCTCGTATTAACAATGAGTGAATAGATACTTTAACTCAAAAGTCAAGAGCCGAGACTTCGGAGTGGGTGACTTAGTCCTCAGAAAGGTCATCTCTGAAGCACAAAATCTGAACTTGGTGGCACTTGGGCTCAAATGAGAAGGTCATTTCAAGATCTCTGCAAAGCTCGCACCAAGAACACTTCACCTGGAACACCTCAGTGGTGAAGCTATATTACGAGCATGGAACGCCAAGCATATATGGAGATATTACCAATATGCAACTCAGGTTCAATTTGTTTATCTTTCTTATTCCAATGCCAAGTGTAAGGTCTATTATGGCCAAATTTTGATTATCAATAAAAGGTATTAATCAGAACTTCCTTTTGTTTATTATTAATTATGCATTAATTCAAGATCGTGACCAAAGCAATGACATCCAAAAACTTAGGAGTTTGGAGTTCGAAAAAAGGCAACTTAACTTTATAAGCCACACCATAATTTAACTCATCAAAGGGGACATTCCCTAAACCGAAGAAGTTAAAACTCGAAAACACTGGAGCAAAACACATTAAAAGAAAATCGATCAAAATTCAGCGGCCAAAACGCAAGATGGGCAACCAGCCTTAACTCGACGTTGTTGCAAGAAAGATCTTCTTGTTTGTTAGAAAAATTCCTAAAGAAGCGAGCTACACATAACTTGGAGAAAATTCAAATTATTATACTAAGTTTAGTTAGAACTAGGGGTGTACACGAGCCGAGCAGCTCGCGAGCTACTCGGGCTTGGCTTGACACGAGCCGTGGCTTGGCTCAAAAAATTTGAGCCGATCTCGAGCCCGAGCGGCTCGTATATTATACGAGCCGAGTACCGAGCCTAGGGGTACTCGGCTCGAAAGTTCGCGAGCTTTTTGGGGATCGCGAGCCCAAACGAGCTTTTTGAGATCGTTTGGGCTCGCGAGCCTTTAAGTGGGCACCAATTTTAAAACTCACATTTAAACCATAGTTTATTTTTAACATAACCCATTAATCCCTTGTCAGTTGTCACTTGTCACTCCCAAAACCAAAAAGCTATCACTTTCCATCTCCATTCACAGTTCACACTCCATAACCAGAACAGCTGCCATTCACACTCTATTTTTCTGACTAGAAATCATGCTCTACCGCCCACGACCACGAACTCACCATGTTAAACCAAACCCATAACACCCATTTGCCGTCTAAAGACTCCAAACCCATAACACCCATTCGCCATCTAAAGACTCCAAACCCAAACACAAAAACCACTCTTCGCCGCACCACGACCACTACCGCGTCGTGGTAACCCAAACCCATAACACCCATTCACCATCTAAACACATAAAGACTCCAAAGTCTAACCCAAACACCGTATCACAACTCCACAGTGCCACGACCACAGCCTTGCGCCCTTGTTGAACTTTGTTTGCTGGCTAGAAACCCAAACTCGTGAGTGTGTTTCCAGACTTTCCACAAACTCGTGAGTTTCTCTTTTAGTCTTTTGTTTGTCATTTTTGTTTTTGGTATTCTGGGCATTCCTTTGGCCGGCCATTTATATTACAGTTCCTTTGCCCATTTTTTTTGTCTACACGTGCTTTATGTGAAAGATATATTGATATGTTATTTGTCTACATGTGCTTCATGTGAATGTAATCAGTGCGTGTTAAGTAAAAAATGTTGACATGGTCAACAAACTGAAACACCATGTGAATATGTGATAAACATAAGTGTAGATGAATAAAAAAGAACCCGTAGGCCCCTCATTGTCAACCTTAAATTGTGTGACCAAGGATCACTTTTTCTGCCAACACCATGTGCCATTTACTTTTGTTTATATATATACTTATATTTTAAGAACTTTTGACTTAAATATGTTTTATACTTTTTATGTATTTGGAACTTTTGACTTAAATATGTTTTATACTTTTATGTACTTGTTTAGATATGGCATCCACTTCTAGTCCCGAGATTCCTGACCCCACTATCACTCCAGCAGAGATCTCCTCTTCAGCATTGCAGCGTACAGAAGACACAAGCAGCACTCCAAATGAAAGCAGACCTACCACTGAAACAACCGCAACTGATGTTAATAAAGAGGCTGATGTTAACCCATTTGCAAGAAAAAAAAGAGCAAAAACATCTGTGGTTTGGAATGATTTTAAGGAGGTGATTCTACCTGACAATACCAAAAAGACTGAGTGCATCCATTGCAAGGCAAAACTTGCAATAACGGTTAGTGGGAGCACTACTCACCTTTCAAGACATTTGAATAGTTGTGTAAGGCGAATTCTTTTCCAAAAGCAACAACAAAGGTTTTTCCAGGCGCAAGCAGGAGATATGGGTACAAGTGGTGAAACTGATAATCTCGTCCCTATTCTTACCAATGGGAAATTTGAAATGGTTAAAATGAGAGAACTAGTTGCCAATTGGGTGCTTATGCATGAGCATCCATTTACTGTTGTTGAGGAGGAGGGATTTAATGATATGCAGAGATATGCGATCCCTCAATGGGAAAGGATAAACAACAACATGTGTAAGAATGATTGTGTTACTATGTATGAGAGGGAGAAAACAAAGTTGAAGAATTTGTTAAAAACTATTGACAAAATAAGCTTGACGACTGATTTATGGAAGTCAAGTAATCAAAAGATAGAATACATGGTTCTAACGGGGCACTTTATAGATAGTAACTGGAGGCTACAAAAACGTGTTCTCAACTTCGTGTATATACCTCCTCCTCGCACCGGCATTCTAATTAAGGATTTGATTTATAAGTGTGCAAAGGAATGGGGTATAGAAAACAAGGTGTTCACAATTTCTGTCGATAATGCCACCAGTAATGATACGGCAATCAGGATCTTAAAAGACAATTTTTCAATAAACAAAAGCCTTGTATGTGGGGGGAAATTGTTCCATGTTCGGTGTTACACACATATCATGAATCTTATGGTTCAAGATGGTTTGACTAAAATAAGGTACATTGTTGAGGATGTCCGTGACAGTGTGGCGTATATTAAACAATCGGAGAGCAGGTTTATCATGTTTTTGGAAATCGTACAGTTATTACGTTTGCCTCATCGGAAGCTGATTCTTGATTGTAAAACAAGGTGGAATTCCACCTATGAGATGTTGATTACAGCACTTAAGTTCAAAAATGTCTTTTTAAGATATCGTGACAAAGACCCGCATTATGATTGTTGTCCAGATCCAGAGGATTGGGTGAGAGTCGAAAAAGTTTGTGAAGTTTTGGAAGTGTTCAATACCATTACTAATATCATCTCTGGAAGTGATTACCCGACTGCAAATCTATTTCTGAGTGAAGTTTTTCGGGTTAAGGTTATGCTAGATGCAAAGGCAATGGATGCAAATGATTTTATTCGAGATATGGTGAAGAGAATGAAAAAGAAGTTTGACAAATATTGGGGGGAGTGTAATTTGTTAATGTGTGTAGCTTCTGTGGTAGATCCTAGGTGCAAAAAGGCGATGCTTGAGTATTGTTTCCCTAGAATGTATGAAGAGATTGAAGCACAAGCGAATATGTTAAAAGTTAAAAATGCCTTGTATGAAATTTATCAAGAATATGTGGATGAATCCCAATCCTTCAACAATGAACAAAGTGCTGAAAACAGAGTGGTTCCTCAGGTTAATGTACAAAACCCAAGTAGTTCGTCTGGTTTTGCATTATTTACGCAGCATATGAAAGTGGTTCAAAGTGTCCCACCAGAAAAATCTGAGTTAGATAGTTATCTAGAAGAAGAATGTTACATTTCTGATGATGGGGATGATCCAACTACATTTGATGCACTACAGTGGTGGAAAGTGAATACGTTGAAGTATCGTTTGTTATCTAGGATGGCTCGTGATATACTAGCCATTCCTATCACCACGGTAGCTTCGGAGGCCACTTTTAGTGCTGGCAATAGAGTTATTGAAACTTACCGATCTTCATTGTCTCCAGAAACAGTACAAGTGCTACTTTGCGGAGGTGATTGGTGTCGTAATCTAAGAGGACTTAAGAGAAAGAACAAAGTAAGTTTCAATTATTAAAGTTATATAAATATTTTGGCATTTTCATTTAATATTTACTTTTAATTCATAACTTAAACTAATTTTTATGATTGTTATATTTTAGATACAACAAAAACATGAGGAGATTCAGCTTCTCGTCGAATGAATCCCACAGGTATATATTAGTCATTTTCATTGATTATTTGCATGTTGAAGTGGTTTGAAATGTAGATTTTCTTTTTCTTTTTTAGTTGAAGGAAGCTGCTAATGGATGCTTGATGGATGCTTCTAGTTTTTAGTGATGAAGGATATTAGTTCTTCCTTCATATTAATGATGTTTTTGATTTAATGGTTAATGGATGCTTCCAGTTTTTGCCTTTTTGGTGATGAAGGATATGAATTCTTACTTGATATTAATGATGTTCTCGATGTATTTTGGTTGGATGTAAATATGTAATGGATGTTTTGGATGCTTGTTGGATAATCACTATACTGATTTTCATTCACATTGTTAAGGAAAACTGATTTTGATTGTTGTTTGTGGTCTTTTGAGTGTTGATGGCTGTTTGGGATGGTTTGTTGGTTGGGTTGTTGGTTTTTTGTGCAGCTTCTTTTCTGTTGTGCAGGGTTGTTGTAGGTTGTGGCTAGGATGGTTGATCTCAAATCTGATTGTAGGAATTTTTCATTTTGGTATCTGCATTTGACATTTATATTAGATTTTGTTGTGAATTTGGCATATCATACATAACCCAATTTCGAAATTGATTTTCTGCTTTGGCATATCATGTTACTGTTCGATCTCGAGCTCGAGTTCGATCTCGAGCTCGAATTTGAGCTCGAACTCGAGTACAAACTCGAGCTCGAACTCGAGTACAAACTCGAGCTCGAACTCCAGCTCGCCAAGTATTCGAGTCGAGCTCGAGCCGTTCATGATCTTATCAAACTCGAACGAGCTCGATCTCGATCTCGAGCCTGAGTTTCAATGCTCGCAAGGCTCGAGATTGAGATCGAGATCGAGATCGCTCCAAATTCACGAACCAATCTTCGAACACCAAGGGGTTCGACTCGGCTCGGCTCGTATACACCCCTAGTTAGAACAGTTAAAATGACTTCGTAGAAATAAAATTATTGCTCGAAAAAAATGGGAAAAGTTAAATCTCATTGATCGATCAATGTTTAGTTACAAAAAACTAAACTAAAAAATAAAAAAAAGGGAGCAAGTTCATGTTATAGGAGTTGGAGTACTTTCAGGAGCAAGAGCTTAAGGAGCAACTTGGGGAGCGGGAGCTTGAGGAGAGTCTTTTATTGGCTCACCCAGGGGAAGATCGCCAGCAACAGTCGAAGGCAGAGCTGGCAAGGTCTAGTCCTTGACCTCTTCTTTTTCGTCGCTTTCTTCCTCACCCTTGCTTTCGTCAGACTCAGAGCTGTCTGAATAAACAAACTCCAAGCCTTTTGCTTCGACCTATCCTCTTTATCTCTTTTTTATAGATGGCAAGAAGAAAAGAGAAGTCAAGTAAGGGTTGAGCCTCCAATAAGCACTGAACCAAGAAGACCGATGCCCTAGACGTTGTCTCTCACCTCTACTTTCAGCTCCTTAACCTCTTTTTTAAGGTTAACAACCTTCAAATCAACCTCTTTGCGGTTCTCCGTCTCATTAAAGAGCTGGCCTGAGGCGTTCGAGTACTTGGCCTCTGATGCGTGTTTCTTACAACATGCAAAATGTAGCAAGTATACTAGTCGCTCAAGTAATAAAATGATGAGTAGAGTATCGTTCCCACGAGGATTGTTAGCAAAGCACTGAGTTTCCTAATGTTATCAAGTTGAAGCAATCGAATTCTTTAGATTGGTGGGAGCAAATTCTAATTAAAAACGACAATGAATTCTAAACTAAGATTAAAACTTAATTAAGAAAGCAATATGAAAACACGGAATATCAATTCAATTCAGGTAAAACGGGTAGGGTTTTGACTTCATTTGGATTTTTATGGGTTAAACCTAAAAATTACACTACACTCACATTCATACGCAATGGTTGTAAATCGAACTCACTAATATGTTAAACATACCCTCTCGGGCTATATTTTCCTATTCATCCTTATTAACCTTCCGCACCCAACAAAATGAAGATTAATAATTCCAAACTCATTAAGCAAAAGAATCCTATAATGATTTCATTAATTCTTGAATCTATCTCTAGCATCCAATACTATAATGGTGATTACCCAAGAAGCCTAACATGATTCATTTCTCAATCTCACCATGTTCATCACATACAGCATTTAAAATCAGAGTAACACACAACCAAAGCATATTCATATGAAAATAACACAATCAAACCCTTAACCCATTTAAAATCCAAACTACCATCAAAACCCTAACCCAAAATAGATTAGTTCATAGCTAAATCAATAATACAAAAACGAAAATCGGAAATAAACAAGTTCAACATAATGAAACTGAAATAAAGGATTAGAAATCTCCCCAAAAGATGAATCCTCTAGTTAGAAATCAAATCTTCTCCCTTTTACAAACCAAATCGCTCAAAGTTACTTAGAAAAGTGCAAAAGTAGCTAACCCTAAAACAAAACAAAGACTCTGGGCAAAAAGGCTAAGTTTTTCTTTTATACTTCGTCCAAATAACCCAGCCAAAACACGCATAGAACGAAACTGTATGTTTAACAAAACTGAAATTAATGACTGTCGCCGCGGCAAAGAAGAATTCTTCGCCGCAGCGAAGATTGAAGCAGACACGCTCCTCCCTGGCTTACTTCGCCGCGGCGAAGACAATTCCTTCACCGGGGCGAAGCTTCTTGAAGAGTTCTGAAATTACAGAACTGCCACTCTGCTTGCTTCTTCGTTTGATTCTTCGATTCTCGGTGCTCTCCCTTGGAAACAAGCTTCATCGTGCTTTATCCTGCTCCGGAACTCTCATATCTTCTGAGATCAGCTAATTTATAAGTCAAAAATATCCAATTTTGTCCTTATTTGCTCAAAATGTCCATTTTAACGTGAAATACTAAAAGTAAAGAATTAAGCAACAATTCAGGTCAAAATGCACTAGAAAGTACCTGAAATCCGACAAAAAGGTATAATGAAAAGTGTATAATTCACGGATTATCAGCCTCCTATTATGACATAGCTTTTTGAGCCACAGCAAGCTCGGAAGCTGTAATACTTTCTTTCTAGCTAGTATACTCGTAAAATAATCAATAAAACTCATTAAAAATATATATAAGAAAATAAACATATAAACGAGTAATAAAGTATGGGCTCATATTTAATTTTTCTTTATATATAAATATACTCAAAATAGCAACTTGATAGTGTAGCCCAATCCCTTCCACTGCATGACATTCTGAGTGACCACAACTCACCTACTACCTGCAAAAACATTGAAAACAATGGAGTGAGCACTAATTACTTAGTAAGTAAACCCGCTATGTTACCCTTCTCTCTCCGTTGATTAAATCCTGAATTTTCTTTCCTTACAACTCATTTCCCGAGTATTATTTATTCTTTCTCTGTTCTTTCTCATCCTTTCTCTGTTTGCTAACTGTTTTTTTCTCAATTTTCTAATTCACTACTCATGATAATGAGCATGGTATTATGCATATTTATGATGCAAATGCACAAATGCATAGATTATGCATTTTCTTTTCTATTTTTCTTATTCTGTTTTCTGTTTCTTATTCTTTAGTTCTTTCTTTCTTTTCTAGTCTTTCTTTTCTAGTCTTTCTTTTCTTTCTTTCTATTCTTTCTTTTCTTGCCGATCGGACTTGGTTGAGGCATGGATTTGGAGCCTTAGCCGTGTGAGTGAATTCTCTAATTCTGGGTACAGTCCTCATCCACACGCACTTCTAACGGACTGTACAATTCTTCTTCTGAATTCTGAGGCCGCTCACTAAAAGCGGCGTGCATGTGGGACTTTGTCACTCACGGGCTCCCCATCGCAACAACCTTCTCTTCTTTTTATCTTTTTACACTTCTTTAACTAAAATTTCAGATTTGAATATCTTAATATTCTCATTTCTTTCTATTTTCTCTTTAACATATTTTAGTGTTTTTTCATGCTCTTATGAAGATGTATGTATGTAGATGGTTTCATGCTTATAATTCTTTCTAAATTCAAATGTTTAAATGCAAGGATGCCATGTAGCATAAAAATAAGTTTATGTCTACCATCTACAAACTCATATCAATTCATAAATGAATAAAACTCATGCATACACTTCTCTTGGACATTTCATCATACATATTGCATGCATAATCAAACTCTAATTTGACTACAATTCTATCTCTTTCTCAAGCCACCAATATTTGGAGTAAAACTCCCTTAAACAATTACTAAACCTGTTCAAAACAATACACTCCCAAAAATTCTACTCAACTCTTTCTAACTTCAACCAAACTTCAATTAATCATCATACAACCAAAACCACTTCTCATGGCTAAATTCTATTCATCAATAATCATCAAACTCATCAATAATTCATCAATTTCATCAACAATTCTCAAATCATAAGCATATACATGTATGTAAAATCTCTACACACTTGATTTCTCAAATCATAACTTGGGTGGATTTACCTATCTTTGGTATGAGCAATCCAACCCCTTTTAGAATCTTCTTTGATCACACTCTCTTCTTCTTAAATGCTATGAGCACAAACCATCAAAATTCAACACTTTAAAAATTAAAAATCACTTCTTAGTGCAAGGATCTTGCCTAAAGTTGCTTGAGATTGAAAATCCACTCAAAAAGACCCAAAATCTATGAATTCTTTTGAAAAAGAAGTGAAGGAATTGAGAGGATTTGGAGGAGAAGTGGCATGAAAATGGGTTGAAGAGTGGCTAGGGTTTCACTCTTCAATCCTTGATATAACATAAAAATATATATTAGTTTCCCATTTTGCCTTTGCACTTTCTTTAAAATTCTATCTATGTCCCTTAGTCAATTACCATAATGCCCTCATTTTTATTGCATTCTCCATGAAATTCTATCTCTTTTCACTCCCCACTTTTTCACCTAATTTTGAGTGAAAAGACCATTTTACCCTTAATGCAAGTTTAAGGCATTTTCTTTACATTTTCTCAAAATAACTTTAGCAAAAATCAACTAAAGGTATAAAAGCATAAATTAAATTATGTACCTCCATGTGGGCGTTACAAAAGCTAGCTTATTGTTGGCACCTTTCTACCGTGCCTAGTCTTTCTTAGCTTTTTGCCGGGCAACCTTGCTCGCTGAGAGTTTGTCGAGAAACTCTCTCTCTTTGACCTTGAGAGCCTCAGCTTGCCCTTCCTTCAGTCGCTCAAGCTCGGCTCGCAGCAACTCATTTTGCTACTCTGCCAAATTAGCCCTCACCAAGGCATCTTCCTTGACCTTCTCTGCTTCCTGCCAACCCAAGTGATTACACGCCACGGTTTGATAGCTCTCATAAAAAAAATGAGTTTGGTCATCGTGCTAGCCTGAAAAGGAGAAATCAATTAGTAAAAAGAAGGGGGGAAGACCTCGAAGCAATGCAAGAAAGGCGAACTATCAATACCTTAGTGACATAGCTGCAAAGGCGAGCAAGCTGCTCATAAGGAGGGGCAACCTTGAGCATCTCATAACTCCACTCCAAAACAGACTCCCTAACCATTGAGGCTCCAACACCTATATGCTCAGGGAGTTTGCTAATCCGCTTGTCAAGATCGGCCTCTACTATCTTAGCCTGTTTTCCATTGCCGCGTTGTAAGGTGAGCTTTCTTTACTTCTGATCTGAATATATGCAAAGAGAACAGAATTGTTAGTGACCTATTAAAGGAGAAACCTAAAGAGCGAGCTATTGAACACTTACCTTTCTCAAAGATTGTGCAGAATTTTGTAGCACCGCTGCAAAATTGTATGCTATCAAGCAAGAAAGCGTAATGAGCTGGGTGACGTCACGCTCACTACTAGGAAGCTCGCTAAATGTTGAAGTTGCTCTTGGCTTGCTGTAGAGACAAAGTTTTGCTCGATGTTTACTACAACACGAAGAAAGTGTAGGGTTAGTTCACTTGCCCGACTAGAAAACCTTCGGTTTTGTACAAAGATCCAAATACTTACTAGCCTCCGAGGCAAAAGTGCCAATTTCCCTAGCTTCGTAAAAGAAATATTCGGAGTCCCAATTATTAACCTTCTTCGGGACTTCGACCAAACCATTTAGGTGTGCTTTCCTCATGTTAAAGAGGTAACATGTCTAATCTTGGATTTTCTTTGACTTATACAAGTGGACAAGCTTGTCCACCGATAGCTCGTCTAATCCAGCTTTCTAGTATGCTATGTACATTCCTACAATTATTATATACGAGTTCCCCGTGAGTTAGAGGGGAGCAATGCCGAACCTTCTCAG